GGTGGTGGTGATAGTTGTGGTGATGGTTGTGGTGATGGTTGTGATGGTGTAATTGTGGTGGTGATGGTGGTGGTGGTGGTTATGGTGGTGTAATTGTGGTGGTGATGGTTTTGGTGATGGTTGTAGTGATGGTGGTGTAATTATGGTGGTGATGGTGGTGGTGATAGTTGTGATAGCGGTGGTGGTGATGGTTGTGGTGGTGGGATGGTTGTGGTGGTGGAAGTGGTGGTGGTGATTGCTGTGGTGATAATTGTCATGATGGTTGTGGTGGTGGTAGTGGCGGCGGTGGTGGTTGTGGTGATGATTGTGGTGGTGGTGGTTGTGGTAATGGTTGTGGTGGTGGTAATGGTGGTGGTGATGGTGGTGGTGGTTTTGGTGATGGTGCTGATTGTGGTGGTGTGATGGTGGTGGTTATGGTTGTGGTGGTTGTGATGGTGGTGATGGTGATGGTTGTGGGGAAGGTGGTAATGGTGGTTTTTGTGGTGGTGGTGGTGGTGATGTTTGTGGTGATGGCGGTGGTTGTTGTGATGGTGGTGGTTGTGGTGGTGATGACTGTGGTGGTGATGGTGGTGGTTGTGGTGGTGGTGATGGTGTTGGTGATATTTTTGGTGATGGTGGTGGTTGTTGTGATGGTGGTGGTTGTGGTGGTGATGGTTGTGGTGGTGAGGGTGGTGGTTGTGGTGGTGATGGTTGTGTTGGTGATGATGGTGGTGTTGGTGATGATGGTGATGGTGGTGATGATGATGATGGTGGTGGTGGTGGTGATGGTTGCGGTGGTTGTTGTTGTGGTGGTGGTGGTTTTGGTGGTGCTGATGGTGATGGTTGTGATGGTGATGGTTGTGGTGGTGATGGTTGTGATGGTGATGGTTGTGGTTGTGGTTTTGATGGTTTTGGTGGTTGTTGTTGTGGTTGTGGTGACGATGTTGGTTTTGGTGGGTGTTGTGGTTGTGTTGATGATGGTTGTGGTGATGGTGTTCGTTTTGGTGGTGGTGGTGATGATGGTGGTTTGGAGGTTGGTTTTGTATTGTTGGTGGTTGTGGTGAAGGTGATAGTTGTTGTGAAGGTGGTAATGATGGTGATGGCGGTTGTTATGGTAATGGTGGTTTTTGTGGTTGGTGGTGGTGAAGGTTGTGGTGGTTGTGGTGGTTGTGCTGGTGGTGGTGGTGGTGGTGGTTGTGATGGTTGTTGTGGTAATTGTTGTGGCGATGGTTGCGGTGATGGTTTTGATGGTGATGGTGGTAATGGTTGCGGTGATGGTAGTGGTGGTGATGGTTGTGGTGATGGTATAAGTTTTGGTGGTGGTAGTGATGGTGTTTTTTGTGGTGTTAAGGTGGTTGTTATGTTTGTGGTGATGGTTGTGGTGATGGTAGTGGTGGGAGTGGTGATGGTGGTGATGGTTGTGGTGGTGATGGTGGTGGTAGTTGTTGTGGTTTTGGTGGTGGTGGTGGTGGTGGTGGTGATTGTTGTTGTGGTGATGGTTGTAGTGATGATGGGGATGGTGGTGATGATGGTGTTTGTTTTGGTGGCGGTGATGATAATGACATTAATATATTGGTCGAAATGAGGAACCTTTGATTTCGAAAGAGTGTTTTTAATCCGGCATTGATAAATTATATTTGAATATCCATAACAAAGTTTCGAAATCAGTATTTTTCGAATAAGGCATTTCGTAAATTCGTTTTATCATTGTTACATATTTACCTTTTAAACATGCGACGTAACGAAAGTACATGAATATTACACATTGCCCTGTTCCGTACCAATTGCTATATCTGCTGTAGTGCTAGATTTTTGTTTGGTGTTTTCATTGCATAGCTGATTCCATATTTATAGTCCTGTTTTCAATGTCAATGTGTTCCCTGTAATATGTCATCAACTCACAAACAAACTCATAACACAGGGTTTCAAATGATGGAGGTTGATGAAAATTAGGACAGTTCTGCAGTCGTCATAGCGATCGCATAAACATAAATTCTATTTCTTTGTCGAATATGAGACGTGACGTGTTTGATGCACGTTAATTGATCTGTTGGTTCCGTTTTTGTGAACCTTGTTCAGATTTGAGAACGTGACATCTTTTACTTGGATGGACCAACATTTACATGGTGGGTGTCGCTGATAAAGCAAACGACGCCCCTACCCTTGGAGAACACTCGGTCTAATTTTTTCATTACTTTTTTTTCAGATTTTTCCGTGTAAATTTTTCTTTTGATCATAATTTGTCCTAGTTTGATTAAATCTAAGTTTGAATTTTCGTTTTGTTTCTTTTACGTTTTAGAACCTTCACAACTTATTTGAACATCAGACATGGCCATATTTGTTTTCTTCACATTCAGGACAAACCTTATTTTCTTCCTATCGCTGTTGTATGCTTACCCCTTTTCGTTTACTATAAATATGGTAACATACTGGCGTTGGAACTGACATCAGATTGCATTGAAATATTGAATATTTGTAATGAAAAATGAACATGTTTTGGGATATTAATACCTGTCATTATTTGCTAATAATTACAGGTTGAGCTTGATATTAGCAGTTAGACCTTCGTACTGCCGTAGCACTGTGAGCGGTAGGATTGTCATGCTATGCTGTCCATTCTGTATCATAAAATCATACCCTGAGATTGTGCCCCTCAATGGCCTCATCACCCACGGACATTACCTGTTGAGATGAACTTTGTTGTCATGGCGATTCGGAACACAAGCAATTTCATTCGTCGGTGTGGATGGAAACTAAGTCACTCGAAGGACATAAGCCTAATTTCATAAAAAATATATATTCAGAATGTGTTATATCTGGGAATATTCGTTTTTGAATTAATCCATCGCAATTGAGTGCTTTGGTCCAATATTCGACAGTCCTTATGACAATGATCTCTCTCGTATCATCAACAATACTGATATTGTCCAAGGGTTATTCAAACCGAATTCTCTATAGAATGAAAATTGGGGCAAGTGCCAAACTGTAAAAATAATCTGGCTATGAATAGCCAAGCTCTCAATGATGAAACTTGTTCAGATTTATAAATTGAAATAAATTCAATTGAAAAGTCTCCGAGGTTCTCTTCACATAGCATTTTAATGTAATTGTGTTTTGATATTGGCCTCCTGCAGTCGAGCACTAAGTCCAATATGTTGATGCCATGTAAATGTTGAATAGTTGACAACAAAGCAAACCTATTACCCACAAACGGGGTTCTTTGTCACTTTCGTTTGAACTAAATTCCCATCCATTAGTAGGACAGGATATATTCATTTGTTAGAACTCTTAGCTCGTTGTATCTGAGCATGTATCAGCTTTTATTTTGGGCGTTTCCTATTTGTAAGATATTTAAAGTATCTGGAGAGTCTTTGCTTTCAAGAGGACATTCAAATTCATATGCATGAATTGATTATCAAGTTTTGAGATCAAATTCTTTGGCAGTTGCAAGGACCTAAAACACTGCTTTCTATGTTCCTTCACTTTCACTACAAAACTAACGCTTCTTTAAGCTCTGTAAGGAAAAGGAAATTGATTTTGTTGATACACCAAAAGAAATTTTGCCACATAGGGGTCACTTTGATTCCATATATAACAATATTATGTTGCACCAATAACCCAACAAAGATTAATCACTCGTTGAGTTGACTAGAGACATCTTAAAGAACATGCTACTTTCCATTTGTTTAACCTTCAAATTAACTAACTCTTTACTATGCGGTGTGACACGTGAAATGGTGTTGCATGATGTTCCGATTCGCGCATGCTCAAAAATCTTGGAAATAAATTAGTTCGTCGGTTATCATAAGAGATACACAGGTTATACATTATCCTACAGAATACTTAATTTCCAGCGTTATATTGAGAGGATGTGTTGCATATCACCAGGATTCTAATAATAAAACTATAAGTTACATTGTACTAAATTGATACAAAGGAACGTCAACAAACAGGTTCGAAATACCCAATAGCGTCACAACACGGATGAATAAAATATACCACTGCGTTAACACACAGGCACTTAATATGTCATATAGTTAACACACATGTACTAAATATGTCATATAGTTAACACACAGGTACTAAATATGTCATATAGTTAACACACAGGCACTTACTATGTCATAGCGTTAACACACAGGCACTTAATATATCACAGCGTTAACACACAGGCACTAAATATATCATAGCGTTAACACACAGGTACTTAATATGTCATATAGTTAACACACAGGTACTAAATATATCACAGCGTTAACACACAGGCACTAAATATATCATAGCGTTAACACACAGGTACTTAATATGTCATATAGTTAACACACAGGTACTAAATATATCATAGCGTTAACACACAGGTACTAAATATATCATAGCGTTAACACAGAGGCACTAAATATATCATAGCGTTAACACACAGGCACCAAATATATCATAGCGTTAACACACAGGCACTAAATATATCATAGCGTTAACACACAGGCACTAAATATATCATAGCGTTAACACACATGTACTTAATATATCATAGCGTTAACACACAGGCACTTAATATATCATAGCGTTAACACACAGGTATTAAATATGTCATAGCGTTAACACACAGACACTAAATATATCATAGCGTTAACACACAGGCACTTAATATATCATAGCGTTAACACACAGGTACTTAATATATCATAGCGTTAACACACAGGTGCTTAATATATCATAGCGTTAACGCACAGGTACTAAATATATCATAGCGTTAACACACAGGCACCAAATATATCATAGCGTTAACACACAGGCACTAAATATATCATAGCGTTAACACACAGGTACTTAAAATATCATAGCGTTAACACACAGGTACTTAATATATCATAGCGTTAACACACAGGTGCTTAATATATCATAGCGTTAACACACAGGTACTAAAAATATCATAGCGTTAACACACAGGCACTGAATATATCATAGCGTTAACACACAGGCACTAAATATATCATAGCGTTAACACACATGTACTTAATATATCATAGCGTTAACAATAAATATATCATAACGTTAACACACAGGCACTAAATATATCATAGTGTTAACACGCAGGCACGAAATATATCATAGCGTTAACACACAGTACAAATATATCATAGCGTTAACACACAGGTACTAAATATATCATAGTGTTTACACACAGGTAATAAATATGTCATATCGTTAACTCACAGGCACTAAATACATCATAGCGTTAACACACAGGCACTAAATATATCATAGCGTTAACACACGGGCAATAGATATATCATAGCGTTAACACACAGGCACTAAATATATCATATTGTTAAAACAAGGGTAATAAATATATCATAGCGTTAACACACAGGCACTAAATATATCATAGCGTTAACACACAGGCACTAAATATATCATAGCGTTAAAACACAGGCACTAAATATATCATAGCGTTAACACACAGGTAATAAATATATCATAGCGTTAACACACAGGCACAAAATATATCATAGCGTTTACACACAGGTACTAAATATATCATAGCGTTAACACACAGGCACAAAATATATCATAGCGTTTACACACAGGTACTAAATATATCATAGCGTTAACACACAGGTACTTAAAATATCATAGCGTTAACACACAGGTACTTAGTATATCATAGCGTTAACACGCAGGCACTAAATATATCATACCGTTTACACAAAGGTACTAAATATATCATAGCGTTAACACACAGGTACTAAATATATCATAGCGTTAACACACAGGCACTAAATATATCATAGCGTTAACACACAGGCACTAAATATATCATAGCGTTAACACACAGGCACTAAATATATCATAGCGTTTACACACAGGCACTAAATATATCATAGTGTTAACACACAGGCACTAAATATTTCATAGCGTTAACACACAGGCACTAAATATATCATAGCGTTTACACACAGGTGCTTAATATATCATAGCGTTAACACACAGGTACTAAATATATCATAGCGTTAACACACAGGCACTAAATATATCATAGCGTTTACACACAGGCACTAAATATATCATAGCGTTAACACACAATTACAAAGTATATCATAGCGTTAACACACAGGTACTAAATATATCATAGCGTTAACACACAAGTACAAAGTATATCATAGCGTTAACACACAGGTACTAAATATATCATAGTGTTTACACACACAGGTAATAAATATGTCATAAACACACAGGCACTAAATATATCATAGCGTTAACACACAGGCACTAAATATATCATAGCGTTAACACACAGGCAAATATCATATATCATAGCGTTAACACACAGGCACTAAATATATCATATTGTTAAAACACAGGGTAATAAATATATATCATAGCGTTAACACACAGGCACTAAATATATCATAGCGTTAACACACAGGCACTAAATATATCATAGCGTTAACACACAGGCACGAAATATATCATAGCGTTAACACACGGGCACTGAATATATCATAGCGTTAACACACAGGCACTTAATATATCATAGCATTAACACACAGGTACTTAATATATCATAGCGTTAACACACAGGTGCTTAATATATCATAGCGTTAACACACAGGCACTAAATATATCATAGCTTTAACACACAGGTACTAAATATATCATAGCGTTAACATACAGGTACGAAATATATCATAGTGTTAACACACAGGTAATAAATATATCATAGCGTTAACACACAGGTACTTAATATATCATAACGTTAACACACAGGCACTTAATATATCATAGCATTAACACACAGGTACTTAATATATCATAGCGTTAACACACAGGTGCTTAATATATCATAGCGTTAACACACAGGTACTAAATATATCATAGCGTTAACACACAAGTACAAAGTATATCATAGCGTTAACACACAGGTACTAAATATATCATAGTGTTTACACACAGGTAATAAATATGTCATATCGTTAACTCACAGGCACTAAATACATCATAGCGTTAACACACAGGCACTAAATATATCATAGCGTTAACACACGGGCAATAGATATATCATAGCGTTTACACACAGGCACTAAATATATCATATTGTTAAAACAAGGGTAATAAATATATCATAGCGTTAACACACAGGCACTAAATATATCATAGCGTTAACACACAGGCACTAAATATATCATAGCGTTAACACACAGGCACTAAATATATATCATAGCGTTAACACACAGGCACTAAATATATCATAGCGTTAACACACAGGCATTAACACACAGTATATATCATAGCGTTAACACACAGGTACTAACATATATATCATAGTGTTATATACACACACAGGTACTAAATATATCATAGCGTTAACACACAGGTTCTTAATATATCATAGCGTTAACACACAGGTACTAAATATATCATAGCGTTAACACACGGGCAATAGATATATCATAGCGTTAACACACAGGCACTAAATATAGCGTTACACACACAGGCACACACAGGCACTAAATATATCATAGCGTTAACACACTGGTAATAAATATATCATAGCGTTAACACACAGGCACTCAATATATATCATAGCGT